AAACAACTACAGGAGAAGAAGGAGACAAACATACTAATAAGAGTAGATGTTTAAACAACACTCAGTATGAAACAGCTTAGGCTGATAAAAATTAACTAAAGATATAGATGACATAAACAATATAGTGAATAAGGTAGATCTTTTGAACTTCTGTTGCATTTTACATTCTGAAAATAAGACTATATTTTTCTCAAGCAAACATGGAAGACTGACAAAAACTGATCCACTTTTAAGTCACAAAGCATCAGTGCATTCCAAAGAGTAAATTACTATAAACAATATCATAATAATATTGTGATAATTCTAGGCATTAATAAAAACAATATTTAAAGGCCCTTCCACATAAAAATTTAAGAATTTCCTATTGAACTACTTTTCTGGTGAAAGAAAAATACAAACTTTCCAAAAGAATAAAGAAAACAAAAACATTATAAACCAAAATCAATTAGATGTCATAGATAACAGTAAGCAGAGGAGAATTCATAGCCTTAAACTCTTGTGAAAGGACACCCAACTGGAGAACTAAAATGATGAGAAAGGTAAAATTAAAAGAGTACATATGAAGACATAATAAAAGAAAAATCAGAAAGTAGTAAACAGAAAAAAGAAAAAATCTCAATAAATAAAAATTGAACTTTGTTAAAAATTAACAAAAGGGACTACTACAGGCCACCTTCACCAGGATAGAAAAATGGAGAAAGCAAAATAAAATTATAATACCTAGAAAGAAACATCATTGAGGCAGCAAAAATTTAAGTCATAAGAAACTACAATGCAGACTACCATGCAAATAAATTCAAAAAAATAGATAACATGTATAACAAGTATAACAGACACTCAAATAGAAATACAGAACTTAAACGACCAATTTCTATAGAAAAAAGTAGAGAATTACAAATAACCACCTCATAGAAAAGCAAAAGAATCTTTCACATTCAAAGACCAGATGGTTCCAATGTAACAGAAATAGTTCTAAAACACAGAAAATAAAACCTCTAAAATCTTTTAATGAAAAAAATATAATGTTGGTACCAAAATATGATAAAGACAGAACAAAATTAGAAAACTATGGATCAATATCACATGAATATCAATATGAAATCACTTCACAAAATATTAGTGAACTTCAACACTGTACTAATATTATGCCATAACAAATTGAGATTTATTCCTTAAAAGTAAGGTTGGTTCAATATCAGAAGCATAGCAATATATTATACCATATGAAAAGATTTGAGACAAATATATGATTATTTCTATTTAGGCTAAAGAAGACTGTGAAAAAATTCAATACCAATTCAATAAAAATAAAAACATTCAAGAACAGAAGTTGACAGATACTTTCTTGACTTTATAAACAGATACACACACACTGATATTCACACATATATTCTCACACATATACACAAACCTTAGTCCTAAAGCCATCATCACATTTAATGGGGTAATATTTCAGGCATTTCCAATAAGATTAGGAAGAGTAAAAGATTATTACCACCTTTCTTACTATTTAATACTGCACTGGATGTACCAGACAATGCAATTAGACAAGACAAATCAAATACAAAAATTATAAGAGAGGAAAAACTACTGTATCTACTTGTATCTGACAGTTTTCTAAGAAAACTCTAAAGAACCATTACCAAAACTACTCCAAACCATAAAATAATTCCATAAATTAACAGGATATAAAATTAATGCATGAAAATAAAAATTTTAATAAACAAAAATCATACGAAATAATAAATCCACATTGACAACATCAACAAAAGGTATAATATTTAGAAATAAATGTAATAAGAAATATGCAAAACTAGTAAGAAGAAAGCTTTAAAATAATCCTAAGAAGGGACCTAATGCAAAATTAATGAAAAACAAAAACATTCCTTGTTATATGAACATCTATACATCATAAAGACATCAAGGTCTTCCCCAAATTAATTTTAAAACTTAACACAATTTCAATGAAAATGCCAAAAAGTATTATTCTTATGTGAAACTAGAAAAATAATATAGAAAAATATTGTATAAATTGCTAGGGTAACATTGAAAAAGAACAACTAAGGGGACTCCTAGTCCAACCCGATGTTAAAATACATTTTATAAAGCTTCAGAAATTAACACATCAGTATTTATGCCTTGTATTGTTATATAAATAGACAAATCAGTGGGATCCAACAAAGTACAGAAATAAAACCAAGTACATGAGGAAATGGAATATATGATAAAAGCAGCAACAAATATTACTGAAGCAAAGCTATATTTTAAAATAGTGTTAGAACAACTGGAAAACCACTTAAAATAAACTCTAATGAATAAGAGAGCTTTAGGTTTAAAAATGAAACCAGGTAGAGCAAATGAAATATCACACATTGCTGATGGGAATGTATAATGGTACAATCACTCCAGAAAACAACTTGGCAGTTTCCAAGTTAAACATACACTTTCATATGACCCAGTAATTCTACTCCTAGTTATTTACTCAAAAGAAAGTGAAACATATGTCTCCACAAAGCCTGTATGTGAATGCTTAGCTTATAGCAACTTTATTTATAATTGTCAAAAACTGAAAACAACCCAGATAGCCATCAACAGGTGAACAGAAACTGTAATTTTCAGTAAAATATTACTCAGCAATAAAAAGGAATGAACTACTCATGACCTACAAAGATAAATCTCAAAAGCATTATGTTAAGTGAAGGAAGACAGACACAAAACAGTACATACCTTACAATTGCATTTATATACCATTCTTGAAAATACACAAATAAAGGGATGGAAATCATTGCTTGGGGCTGGTAGCAATGCCAGGCAAAGGGGACTACCCTGAAGGGGAATCAGAGAACTTTTGGAAAGAAATGTTCTACATCTTGGCAGCAGTAATGGTTACATAATACATACATCTGTCAAAACATATCAAACTGTACATTTAAAAAGGTAACATTTACTGTTTGTAAATTATATCTCAAAAAACCTAATCTTTAAAAAGTATGCAGATATTGCCAAATTTCTGTTCCACTAACTTTATTTTCCTATACCTATTCAATTTACATTCCCAAGGGGATTCTAAAAGTGCTGATACCTTTATCAGCCTCAATATTATCAGACTATTATTTTAGGCCTCTTCAATTTGATACGTCCTTTAAAAAGGGTGCCTCGATGTTTTGGTCTCCTTATCTTCTCATTTTTAGCAAAGGTGGCCTTTCTTCCTGTTTCTAGGACAGTCATATTCCTTTTCTGTTCTGTTTTTTCATTCCTTTCCATCATTGCTTTAAAAACATATTTAGCATTTTTCTTATTAACTTTTTTTAGTAGTGGCTAGATATTCTCAAATATTTGTCATAAATCTATTTCCCAGTTTCTCATTCACCTTTCATTTTGAAAAATGTTTAAATATACAGACATCTTAAAATCTTAAAGCTGTCAATATTTTCAGTTGAGATTTTTGTTCTCTTGTATTTTTATTTAGAAATTTATTTAACCCATGCAGAGATCAAATATTCGATTACATGTTTTTCTAATTTTTTATAGACTCAATCACTTAACTCCTTAAACATGTGATAATACAGTAGTCAACTGGTTATATTGTTATTTCAATTTAAGTTAAATTAAAAATTCAGGTTCTCAATATTAATATTTTAATATTTAAAAATATAATCTGCTTTTTTAAACAGACTATATTTTTTAGAGAAGTTTTAGGTTTGACTTAGGTAAATTTAGAGCAATGTAGATAAAACTGAGTGGAAAATACAGTAAGTTCCCATCCTGTCCACTACCAACATCCTTCACTAGACCGGCACATTTTTTACAGTGGATGAACCTACACTGACACATCATTATCATCCAAAAGCCACCGTTTACGTTATGTTCACTCTTGGTCTTGTCCATTCTGGGGATCTTAACAACCAAATGATGACATGTATCCACCATTATAGTATCATGCAGAATAGTTTCACTGCCCTAAAAATCTACCGTGCTTCACTCATTCATCCTTCCTCTCCCTTCTAACCTATGGAGATAGTAAAAAATTGATCTTTTTACTGTCTCCATGGTTTTTTTCTTTTCCAGAATGTCATACAGTTGAAATTGTATAGTATCTAGCCTTTTCAGATTGGCTTTTTTCACATAGTTAAATCCATTTAAGTTTCTTCCATGTTTTCTCTTGGCTCAAAAGTTCATTTCTGTTTAGCAATAAATAATATTCCATTACCTGGATGTATCAGTTTATCCATTCACCTACTCAAGGACATCCTGGTTACTTCAATGTTTTGTTGAGTATAAATAAACCTACTATGCAGCATTCATGTTCAGGTTTTTGGGTGGATGCAAGTTTTCAACTCGTTTGGGTAAATACTAAGGAGCACAATTGCTGCTTGATATGTTAAGAGTGTCTAGCTTTCTAAAAAACTGCCAAACTGTCTTCCAAAGTGGCTGTGTCATTTTGCATTCCCATGAGCAAGAAATGAGAGTTCTTGTTATTCCAAACACTCATCAGTAGTTGGTAATATACTGACCATGTTTCAAGTATTTAGCAACATATTGCTAATGGCTACCATATTGGAGAGTCAAACAGAATATTTTCATCATTACACAGTTTTAACAGAAAAGCTTCTCTGCTTAAAACTAATTGGTTATAGAGTAGGAAATGATAAACTAATATAACAGCTTTTTATAACCTCTGCATAAATCCACCTCTACTCCCACTGGATTTTTGGGGTTCTTTGTTTACCTATATTTGCTCAGAAATTCAAATTCCTGCTCAGCCACTTCTTAACTATGTGCCCATTAACATATTATTTAACCCTCTGACTCTCAGTTTCTCATCCTAATTACTCATTAGTTTGGTATGAAGATTAAATTAGATAAGCAGGTAAGATAAATTATAACATTCAGCATGTTATGCCCTCATTTGTAAACTCTTCTGGGTTAAGAATTTGTTTTCTGAATGTTTCAGTTTCATATTTTAAAGACTTTTACTAAAAGCAAAAGTATGTATTTACCTGATCTGGATTTTTGTAACCCAAAAGTAGATTTGCTGCTTTTATATCACCATGAACATACTCATTTTCATGTATATATTCCAGTATATCCAACTGTGAAAATAAATAGATAAAATAAGGTTATACTGCTATCTGTTTAGAACTCACGATCAATTTCAACATTTTGAATATAGAATAACTTGGGTTTTTTCATATTAACAATGACAAAGTGATGTTTTTCACAATTAATGGTCAATTATTCTAAAATATCACATCTTCTGGTGGCTCATCCTGGAAAAAAAAGTTGAATAAAATGATCCTCAAAAATCAAGCGTTTTAGTTGAAGTTCCAATAAAAGAAAATTGGGATTCAAAAATGCTCATGCCTAATTCCTGATAGCCCAGTAGCCAAACTGCACTGCACAAAGAGGAAAAACACAGCATAAAATCAGAAATCTACAGTGAAACAATCTTGAAGCCCACTCAGCAATTCCTCACCTAAACAATAATTTTAAATCAAGTCTTGAGAATCTTAGAACAAAATGCCATGTCCATGAGCAAAAGGAAAGGTATTCTTCCTCTATATGGTAACAGAAAACTCCTTAGCTTCATCTCTAAAGCCCTTCGGCCTTGTATGTTACATACACTTAGTACTCAATAAACATTTGCTGGCTTGGAGGATGGATAAATGAGAAACTTAATGCATTCCATTTGCTGCATCCCAATCTGACATAAGCGGCTTCATGCTACTGAAAGTGAAAAAATGAGACTTAAAACAAAACAAATACAAACATCACAATACGAATATGTAATATAAACAAATGTATGCCTGGGTGCTATTAAGAGTTCCTTGCGGGGTCCAAAGTGGCTCCCGCCGGAGGTCGTGGCGCTTGCGAAGCCGAGGTCATGAGTTCAAGGCTAACCTGAGCAACCTTATAAGCTCAAACTGATTGGCAACAACAACAAAAAAAAGAGTTCCTTGCTACTGATTTGGTAAAGTATATTTTATTCATTGCCACAACTAATTATTGCCACCATCCCAAACTCATAATAAAAACTTTATAGCACCCCATACCATCTCATGTTTAAAATGGCTGACAATACATTTTGCCATAATTTGCATTGTTATAACTGACAAAAGAAAGATTATTCTTAATGGCAATGAAAACTTGTTGTGGTATGCAAAAGAAAGCTGTGAGGAAAAAGATCAGACTGGAGAACCAAAACCTAATTGAGTTTGCAGTGCCAGACACAGCACAGCACATTCTGTCACTTACAGAGCCCACGGTTATCAATTTCACCAAAACAGCCTCTACTCCTAACTGATGTCTCTAGGGCAATAATCCCTCATTCTCTAATAACAAAAGGAAAAGATTTCTGTACTGTAAGAAGTAAATAATTTGGAAACAGAGCATGTGAATGAAATAAGTAATTTTTTCTTACCATTCGGATACCTAATTGCAGGACAGTTGACTTTTTAAAGGTACCATTCTGGTCAGAGATCTTCTGTAAATCTATTCCTAGTCTTTCCATTACCATAAATCTGTAACTATAAGAAAGAAGCATCAAAAAAAAGATCATCCTGAGAAAGTAATGCTTGAAATTGTCTATTTAATTTGAAACAAGAAAAAGTATGCCCAACCTAACAACCAGGTATGATACAATCTAAATAGAGAATGAATGCACGTTCATAATTCTGCTATTCTTTTGCAGAAACTGCTCAGTATTATTTACTTTGCAGCTGGTTTTCTAGAAGAGAATGCTGTACCAAACCATTCACGCTATATTTACATAATAAAAAATCTTTCTAAATTAGACAGTACTTAATTCAATTTACTTTGACTCCATGACTTCTTGCAATGTGGTCTTGAACAAATTTTTGTCCACACATAAATGTTTTGTTTTTGTCATAGATGGAGTCTCGCTCTGCTGCCAGGCTGGAGTGCAGCGGCACAATCTCAGCTCACTGCAACCCCCACCTACCGGATTCAAGCAATTCTCCTGTCTCAGCCTCCTGAGTAGCTGGGATTACAGGTGCAGGCCACCACACCCAACTAATTTTTGTATTTTTAGTAGAAATGGGGTTTCACCATGTTGGCCAGGATGGTCTCGATCTCTTAACTTCGTGATCCACCTGCCTCAGTCTCCTTAAGTGCTGGGATTTACAGGCTTGAGACACCGCACCCGGCCACGTGAATTTTGTATTTGTTTCTTGATAAGATTATATTTACCTTCTCTATACATTTACAAACATATCTTTTTTTAAGTGCACTTCTTCCTTTTCTGTTCTGTTTGGTACTTCCATACCTTCTTTCCTTCCCTTCATTTATATATTCACATCAGCACCTATTCTATATCTGTCTATGTGTGCATACACAAACACACACATTTAAGAATTTGTTTTACAAAAATGTGATCATATTATATGCACTTTCTCCATCTTACTTTTTTTCAGTAGTATCTCATCAAAATCCTTCTAAGGCAACTAGTATAGCTCTAATTGACTTCTTTAATGGGCTACATCTGATGTGATATGGATGGATGTACCATGATTCAATCAGCCATTCAGTCCCCTATTGGCAGCCCTTTACTTCACTTCAAGATTACTGTTCGCTCATTTTGTTTTTATTTAAAGCATTTAAAGACCATTTGAACAAAGTACTGACATATGAGCTTATTTTCTCATCTATGAAATAAAAACACTATCACCTATCTTAATGGGCTATTCAAAGGACAAAACAAGATAAAGTATATACAAATCTCTGGCACAAAAGGGTAAATTAAAACGACAGACTTTTTTTTCTTTTTTTAAATTAGTATTAATAGATTACATATAGGACTAGCCATATTTGGTAGTTTTAAAGATATCGCTGTAACTTATTAGTTGTGCTTCTCCTCAAGAGATAGAACTTGATTCTCTCGAGGACCAATGAATCTAGTGACTAGCTTCTAGCAAAGAGAATAAAGCAGATGTAACAATAATATCCCTTTTAAGATTAGATTACAAAAAACTCTTGACTTCCTTCTTGAATGCACTTGTCTGCATGCTCTCCCTCCCACCCCCAATTACTTGCTCTAGAGAAAGCCAGCTATTTTTCATAACATTCAGGTAACTTATGCACAGACCCACATGATCAGGAAGTAAGACCTGCCAACAATCATGTAAGTAAATTAAGAAGCACATCTTAGGCCTACCAGTAGCCACATGAGTAACTATGAAAACAAATACTTCCCCAGATGAGCCTTGAGATGACTGTAACCCAACAGACAGCTGATTGTACCCTTATTAGAGATCTTGATCTAGAACCATCCAGATAAGCCACTTGCAAGCTCCTTGCCCACAGAAACTAAGACAATATAGGTTTGTGATCATATGCCAATATGTTTTGGGTAATTTGTTACATGGCAACAGATAACTCATAGACCACATAAGGAATAGTTATAGAGAAATATTTGTTTATAATCATTCCATTTTACCTTCTTCCTTTGAATTCAGTCAGACCAGATCCATAAAACAGAGGAATTCCTAAATAATCAAGTTGTTTGCGTTCTATCCACTTTTTGACTACAAAGACAAATTTATTTTTAAAAAGATTCATGTTATTTCAAAAGATATTTCTCACCTTTCTGTAGACAAATTTCTTTAGCTAACCAAAAATGTAACTAGATCTTCCTAGAAAACACATTTTTTTCCATCAGACATTTCTAATGGCCTCAAACTATTTGTTACCACTATAATCAACAAAAAAATTAGAAAATTTTAAATTAAATCAATAATAAAAATGAGTCACAGTCTTTGTATATTGATACCATATATACTAATGTTTCAATCTATAAAAAGAATTCATTACTTTATATGCTAGCTAAATTCCTAAATATAACATATGTTAACCACCCAAGGATCAGCAGCGAGATGGCTTTTTCTTCCCTATTACTTCAAAATCTATAAGCATACTGGACAAAACAACGACAATAAAAAACACAAAAACAGAAATTGGACAGAAAAATCATCTTACTTTGAAATTATTTTATACAAAAACTGGTTCTGATTAAACTTAGTTTACAAAAAAATCAAATCCACTTAAATAATCAGTTAATCATTTTTTCATGATTCTAGCCTATATGTTTTATGTTTAACACAGCTCTACTGATAAACATTCAAGTTTAATGGATTCTATTTGTCACTCTGACATAGTTTCAGTAGTTGGTAAATACAATCTTAATGTTTAGAAGACTTTTTTAAGAAAAACAAAGTTAATTACTGAGGGCAGACTCATCATTCTTATTCCTAAACATGATGTAAAAGACCTTGACTATACAGTCATTACTCCTGTTTACTTCTTTAATGTTTTTCTTAGCCCATCAACATCACATTTATAAAATGCTGTTATTTTTCCTCTCTGCTTATATTCATTTCCCATTCAAATCTTCTATCTGGTAATTCTTAACAGTTGGTATCCAGCTCCAATTAATGTTCCAACATTCAAGTTTCTAACATCTTCCTAAACATCTTAAAGTTTAATTAATCATTTCCACACCTTAGCCCAATCCATTCTATAATCGTTCCTTTCTTATACATATATCTGCTTCCCATTTTAATGTTTTTTCCTTATAGCCTTCCTATCCAAATGGTATACTGTAAAAGAAAAAATTTCAATCTACTATCTTTTATACTTAAAGAACTCTTGGTAGCTTAGATTAACAACCTAACATTTTATGTAAAGTAGTAGAAACAACTTTGACTTAAAATATATAACCCATTATGTATGTCATGTCGAGATTTGTATACCATCTGTCTTGCTTTTAGATGTTATAACAGTTAACTGTATCACTTTACAATAAAATTTCTATTGAAAAGAATTTTCCAGAAGGCCAGAAAAAGACCAAAATATCAACACTCACTTTAGCAAGAACATATACGGAATAGCTTGCTTTGCTAATTTTACTTACTACAGTCTTTTTTTGCAACTCTCTGATAAAATTTAAGTTCTGAAAATAACGGGCCATTTTCTTGATATTCCTATAAAAAAGAATAATTAATTTTACTAGGAAAAAATAATACTAAAGATGAAATTGTTATTTCACTGTGAAAATAGGAACATATATATGTAGTACATAATAGTACTTGAATCACTTTTTATACAACATAGGCACCAGATTTCCACTAAAAATCTCAGAAAACACTAAATAAACTTGAAGAATCTAATTTTTAAACAACATATTGTACAACTATCCCTATACAGTCTTACACTTTTAAAAGTAGTTTTCTTACAGAAAACACTTACTAAAAGCACTGAGAACTGTATACATAAACATACACAAACACTCACTGTATACCAACATATATATCTGAGTGATACATAGCAAACTATCTTTGTGGTCCACTCACACATGATACCTTTACTGAGTGGTCTACTGTATTTCATTCACTGTACTAGGTACAGGGGACACAAAAAGAAATAAAACCCTATGCTTACCTTTAAGGACCTTACCTTCCAGATTCGAGAGGTAGAGAGGGAGAGAGGGTGTTTGGGAGGGAAAGAGAAAGAATAGCTAGATAGATAACACACCAGGGTAAGAGTTGGCAATACAGAAAAACAAAGGTTCTCTAGTCTTAATGTTTTAACAATGTGAAAATAGATCATAACATTAGGTTTACTGATAAGGCAACAGCTACAAAAATTAAGGTGAAAAACATTCTTAAATAAATAAAACAGAAAAGGGAAAAGTCAAATATATGTGAAATATAAATCTAAGAGCAACACTTACCACTTTTACTACATGTCTTGCATCTTTATCTGGTTTATTTGTGGGGAAAGCTGCACAAAAAAAACACGATGGAGAAAAATAGTTATTCCCAATTTCTGAATACCTACCATATCCCAGACACTATGCTAAGTACTTTACATATTAAGTTTATTAATATAATCCCAACAACCTTTTATGGTAGTAGGTATCCATCATCTCCATTTTATATAAGATGCTACTAAAGTTTAAGAAGTTGAATAAATAAATTGCTCACTAAGAGGTAACATATTGGAGATAGAAACTCAAATCTGCCTGACATTATAGCCCATACACTTTATCATAAACCATATTCAAATATTTAAATACAGAATCAATAGACAATATGAATCATATAGATCCAAAATGTAGGGAGAAATATTTTCTAGATATTTCTAGATGGTATTAAACCCAATAGATAATACATAGTAAAATCCATTGATTCAATTGCACTAAATTAGAATCCATAATGATTCAGAAATAAAAATTGTTTCAATTTAAGTAGAAAGCTCAAAACAATTTATAATTGACAACATTCTAGAATAAGCAAGTTTAAAATGAGAAAATCTTTAAAAATATCTTCTGAACCACCAATTACTTTTACATTAAAGAATACATATCTCATAAATTCATTTCAATTTCAAGTTACCTTACTTATTTTTATTCTTATTTTCCATTTGTAGTTCAGACAGTATAATTCTACTTTTGAAAAACTCCAGTGTTCAAATTTTAAAATAAATTAATCTTTTCCTTTATATTACCTACATTATTAAAAGATTGCTGTTTTCCAATCTCAATAAGAGAAATTTATATGTATATTTATTTGTACTACAAAAGACTAAATCTTTATCATTCGTTGATTTGTTCACTCTCTATCCATTCATTTGTTTACTCGTTTAAACATTTATCAAGAAGCTAGAATATGCCAAGCACTGTGTTAACTGTCTAGATGATGTTTGAAGGAAAGGGAAAGGAACAAAGGTGGAACTACTATCGACTACAATTGAAAATCAGTAATAAACAGACTTGAGAACAGGATCAAATACATTTTTATATATTCAATATATTTATTAAAATGCTGTGTCCTCTTATTAATGTCATCCTTTTCTTTCTTATATCAGCTGTTTCCTTTTTAATCACATCTTAAATATAAAAATGTCACATATTTATTAAAATAAACTGTACACTACAGTTGAGCCAATTAACGCACAATTTTAAGCCATTCTCTAAAGTTTTTAAATCAGCAAGGCTACTAGCCAGTTGAAGAAAGTATTATTTCAATTCTACCTAATATAGATATAAATTGTAAACCCAGACCTCTTTGCAATAACAAAGAAACTGAACTTGCTTATAGCACTTAAAATTATCTTTTCACCTTTATTCATATAAAGTTATTTTATTTTTACTCATGCAATAGTCCCAAGGAAACTGCAGAAAGAGTGGATTAACTAGATCCACTTTCTCCTAAGAAAGAAGAAAACTGAAGGGTTAAAGAAAAAAAAATTTTAGAATAAAATATAAAATACAAAATAAAAACACCTGAGTAAATCTATTTTTAGCCACATTTTTTTTTATATTTTAACATCTCTGAAATCTGAATGCATCTTAAAAGTGGTGACATTTTACAGCTGCTGTTGAGCACAGAGCAGTCATGACATAGTTATTGCTTATGCACACAACACTCAAAACTGTCCATTTGTCTTTACTTAACTGAGTTATGTACATAGCTGATAGTATTATATGTGGAATTTAACTTAATGATTTGGCACTGAGAAGAAAAATGCTTGTGTATATAGAAAAGTTAACTAAACAACCCAAAACAGGGCAGCAGGGCATGAATTTGTTATCAGTGAAAAAAAAGTTTATTAAGATATGACTGCAACTACTGAGTATGCTGAGTTTCTTAAGAAAGACAAATTTTAAGGGTATTCTGTCATAGTTTAATGGGCAGCATTAGGTATTAGATATAATCAGCTCCTACAGAAAATAGGAATGTTCTCTGGGCAAAAAAGAAACGGCAAGGGAAATTAGAAAATACATAGGACTAAAGAGTAAAAATGTCACATTGAAACTAGTTAGAATGCAGTTAAAATGCATATTTATTACTTGTCTTCCTCTGCTAGAATGTAAACTCCAAAAACAAAGAAATATTTTTGCTTTATTCAGATGTGTTCTAAGCACCTAGAATAGAGCCTTGGGCATTATTGAATAAAAAGTGTTACCTAGAGAAAAATTTATACAATTAAACATTTTGATTTTAAGAAAACTAAAAAATTAGTGAGCTAAGTGCTCCCCTTAATAACTTAGAAAAATAAAGACATAACCAGAAATTAATAAAAAACTGAAAAGGCCTACAACAATAATCTCTCAGTAGAAAATGAGCACACCTAACACACATATTATGGTTTCTAAATATCATTTTCAATAAAATGAATCAGGGCTCATTGGAGAAATGGCTGATTCCAGAGCTGAGACAGAGAAAATAAAACTTAAGTAACTTAAGCAATAAAATTTATAATATTAGGATGGTGCAAAAGTAATCACGGGTTTTGCCACTGAAATTAATCATGTTTACTTTCGCACCAACCTAATACTAATGAACTGTAATCCACAGGAAAAAAAATCCATCATCTATACCGATGTAAGTAAATAAATAAATGGGAGAGATGAGACAGCTCTTTCCTGTAGCTGAAATAAAATAAGAAATATAAATTAAGAAATGTAGAAGAAATGAGAAAAATGAAAAAAATCATCATTTGGCAAACATGACAGTAATAACTGGGGCAAGCAAAAGTCATTAATAGATACTAAAATAGATAGGCAAATGGATGATTAAAAGCAACACAATGCAAATACATTCAATTCTTTCTACAAGATACTTATTAATTGTAAATGGAAAATAAATTTATTGCAGGCTAACCTGGTAGCTAACACTTTAACTATTAAAAGGGATCAAAGTTGATATCACTAATGATGTACAATAAATCATGCATCTACTGATATATAACTGGGAGAAGCGTAATACATTTTTATGATATTCTTACTAAATAATATATAATCTGAATTTAAAGCTAACCCAAAATGAAGGACAGTCTACAAAATACTAGCTGGTACTCTTCAAAAGTGCCAAGCTCTTTGCAAATCACCTAAGAGGTAATTACACAAAATATATAAATAACTCCTATAAATCAAAATCAACAAAAGTCAAGTTTAAAAATGGGCAAAATCAGCTCAGTGCAGTGGCTCACGCCTGTAATCCCAGTACCTTGGGAGGCTAGTGCGATGGCTCAAGCCTGTAATCCCTGTACTTTCGGAGGTCAAGGTGGGCTGATCATGAGGTCAAGAAATTGAGACCATCCTGGCCAACATGGAGGAACCCCATCTCTACTAAAATACAAAACATTAGCCGGGTATGGCGGCACACGGCTGTACTCCCAGCTACTTGGGAGCCTGAGACAGGAGACTGGCTTGAGCTTGGGAGGCAGATGTTGCAGTGAGCAGAGATCATACCACCGCACTCCAGTCTAGGCCACAGAGTGAGACTCCATCACAAAAACAAACAAACAAACAAATAACATGTAACAATAAAGATAGCAAAAACATACTCAAGAGATTTTGGAAAAGATAAACTAATATGATAAACATTATCATCAGTAAACTTAAAAACTTAGAAAGAATGACAATTTCCTAGAAAAAAAATTTAGCAAAATAATTCAGAAAATAAAAAACCTGAATAGAAATATAATCATTAAAGGAAACAAATCAGTATTTCAAAAAAAAAATGTAGAGTCTTCAACTTACAATGATTCCACAGGGTTTTTCAGCTTTACAATGGTGTAAAAGCATTGTGCATTCAGTAGAAATCACACTTCAAATTTTTAATTTTGAACTTTTCTCAAGCTAGTGATATGAGATATGATACACTTACGTGAGATATTCAACACTTTATTATAAAATAGGCTTTCTGTTAGATAATTTTGTCCAATTGTAGGCTAATACAAGTGTTCTGGGCACATTTAAGGTAGGGTAGGGTAAACTATGATGTTTAGTAGATTAGATATATTAACTACCTTATTGACTTAACAATTTCAATTTATGATGGGCTTATCAGGACATAACCCCACTGTAAGACAAGGAGTATCTGTACAGATAAGATGGAGTAGGAATACTCAACTCTAGCTCTCCCACTGAAAATAGCTACAAAATATAGACAAAAAAGAAGACTAGCTATTAGAAGGCTCTTAAAAAGTAAAGAAAGGTTTCCACTCAACATATTAAGAGCTTGGAGGTCCTTACTCCCCTCTTTTCAAGGGGGAAAAAAAAAAGAAAAACAACTATCTGAAAATCAACAGCTTTTCTTTAATCCATCAGAGAACTGAGGTTACAAGGCAAATCCATCACAGAACTGAGGTTACAAGGCAAAAACAAAAAAACTGTTAGGTTACAAGTTGTGCCTAACAACTTGAAAGGCAAATGAATACAGAGAATCACAGCTTACAGGGGCAGAGTTTTGCCATGAGCCCTCCATATTCTTATAGTGAGTATCAGAAAAATCTCCCAGCTGGGGAAGAAGAAACTACTTTGCCAGAACATAATCCAATATGGGAGAAGAAAAATAACCACTCCAGCCTCCTCTAGCCTTCCTAGCTCACCTAAGCACAGTATAGGAAGCTGAGAAATACTGGTGAAGGTTACATCCTGGGGCATAGGCCCATTAAAAAAAAAGAAGATTTACACTAATCATTAGGGAAATCCAAATTAAAACCACAAGATACCATCTTGCACCAGTCAGGACGACTATTATTAAAAATTCCAAAAACAACACATGTTGGCGAAGTTGCAGAGATAAGGGAACATTTATACACCGCTGGTGGGAATGCAAATCAATTCAGCCACTGTGAAAAACAGTTGAAAGCTCTCAAAGAACTTAAAATAGGAACACCATTCAACCCAGCAATCTCATTATTGGATATATACCCAAAATATAAATTGCTGTACTAAAAAGACACATGCACATGAATGCACATTGCAGCAC